AATATCGATGACAATGGGTTGATGGAAAGAAAAAATGATCTTAAGTCACGACAGGTGACCTGAAAATAAACTTATTACCAGCAACCAACACCATATGCTGCGCGAACGCGAATAATAATAATAATAATAGTAATAATAAAGAACAATGAAAGCCAACCGCCCAGATATTGTTATTAAAGAACACAAACAAACAAAGTGCCTCCTTATAGATATGGCAGTCCCTGCTGACTGCAATGCATCTTTGAAAATATTCAAAAAGCTGTCAAAATACAAGGACCTTGAAATCGAAATCTCAAAAATGTGGCACATAGGAACATCAACAATCCCTGTTGTAGTTGGAGCCCTATAATTGGTTGGAAAAGATTCCAGTAGACTAATAAGGGATTCCTGTGAGTCCATGCCTCAAAGAGAAACAAAATATTGTTCTCACAAGTACAGCCCACACTTTACGAAGGGCTTTATCTATGTAATTTATTTTATTTTATTTTATTTTTTGTCAGTGGAAAGTGCCATGATGCCATTTCTAACCTTAGGTCCCTAGGCGGGACCCAGAAAACAATCTGTAAACGCCAGAAATCAAAGGAAATAATAATAATAATAATAATAATAATAATAATAATAATAATAATAAAAAAAAAAAGACGAAGAAGAAAAAGAAAATAATTTTTTTACTTGTTCCTAAGAAATTTAGCACATACAATCTGCCCTGACAAGACCTCATAAATAATGGACTATTCCATTTTTTCTCGCAATCAAAATGGAAAAGACACATTAAAGGCGCTGTTTGGAATTTACTTCTTCAAATAATGACCTAATCCAGACACTTCTTCCATCTGTGCTGCAGTGCTTGGATCCCATTGGTGAAGAAGCTTTTATTCTGTTGGTCCCAAAAGTCATCAATAGCTGACATGAAGTTATCATCACTGTGAAACTGGTTCCATGCTGGGGAACAGATGATGGAGCGACCAGTTCAGAGCCACAATAAAGCACATCAGCCATTGAAATCAAGAACTTGGTTTCAATGGAACATTGTCCTAATTATACAAGACCCCTTTCCTGGGCATTTGCTACTGATAGATTTTCGTAACTACCTCAGCAAGTTAGTATGGTACTCTCCATTGATGGTGTGGCCTTTTGAAGATAGTCAATAAATACAATACCTTTTGCATCCCCAAAAAACTGAGGTCATCAACTTCCCTGCTGATGAAATGACCTTAGCCTTCTTTAGCGGCGTTTCCACTGCATGGATTGTCTCTTTGTCTCTGGTTCAAAATGACGAAACCCACACTCATCCTGGTTCAAGGAAATCAGCTGGATCTGCCTCAAACAATGTCTTACAATCTAAAACACATTTTCTGTCTTTAAGTAACATGGAAAAAGGTTGATAAACCGTAAAAAAATCAATATATCCGTCACGCAACATTTATTACCGTATATTGTTATAATTGTTCTATTTTTTAATAGTGTTGATAGCTTATTATTATGCACAATATATAAATTTTATTTTGTCGTAGCGAACAATGAACAGGAACAAAAAAAAACAAAAAAAACTAGTACATAGAAGGTTCGGATTGTTCATGGTATCAGCTTGGAAGTAGCGACTACTGTACACAAAGAATAACTATCAATACTTGTTTAATTTCAAGTCAAGGTTGAACAAGTCCCAGGATCGCCAGGCGAATGAGCCGAGTGTTTACAGACTGAACAGATGAAGGCTTTCTTTTATTTTAAGTCTGTTAATCATATGAATTTGTATTCAGTATTTCGGTTTTGTTTATTGTTTATTCAGGCAACTAAGTGAATGTGGTATCATCAGTTGGGTTAAAGGTAGAGGCCATGGCTTCCACGGCAATGACGTTGCTTATTATCCTATGATTAAATTGCGTTCTCATTTCAGGATGTAGGCGATCATGGCACTCCACAGATTCCAATTCTTTATTATCTATGAATTTTCTGGACTTTTTGAGAAAGATATAAGAGTAGTTTCCCGGTGTATTCTCCACGGATCTTGAATTCAGAGCTGTTTTTTCATCTAGATTAGTCGCTAAACAAGGTTAAAGTGCCCAGTCTACGATATACAATAAATGAGGAAAAAGTGGATTGATGCCATTAGCAAGTGCATTAGTGCGAAAGTGAATGCAACACCTCCTGATATCCTCTACCTTTACAAGAGCCGGATCAGATCAAAAATGCTGTAATATATGGGCAGGAGATGTCCTGTCTTCACCTTCCACTCTCGACAGAGTCAAAAAGTGTTGCCTTCTCCCGGATTTGAATTCAAAGCTTTCCTTCCCTTTAAAGCGAAAGTGAATGCAACACCTACTGATATCTTCTACCTTTACAAAAGCCAGATGAGAACAAAAATGCTGTAATATATGGGCAGGAGATATCATGTCTTCACCATCTACTCTCAACAAAGTCGAAAAGCTTTGCCTTCTCCCCAGATTTGATCTCAGGTCGACGTTGGAGAGTTTAGTAACCTCTGTTATTTAACCCGTAGCATAGACGATTCAAGACAAGATTGAACAAGTCCCAGGATCGCCAGGCAAATGAGCCGTTTGTTTACAGACTGAACAGATGAAGGCTTTCTTTTATTTTCAGTCTGTTAATCATATGAATTTGACTTCAGTATTTCGGTTTTGTCTATTGTTTATTCAGGCAACAAGTGAATGCGGTATCATCAGCTGAGCTAAATGTACAGGCCATGGCTTTTATATTAATGACGTTGTTTATTTTATTTTATATTTTTTTATTTAATATTTTTTATTATTTTTATTATTATATTTAATTAATTAATTTGCTCCTTTCTTTGAGTACGTAGGCGTTGATGTCACTCTTCGCATTCCGTTTCTCTATTATCCGTGAATTGTCATGAATTCTTGAGAAAAATAGTGGACTGATTTCCTGTTGGCTTCTTCACGATTCAACGCGTTTCCTCTCATAAACTGGCTCCCGGTCAAGGCTAGATACTTCAATCTACTCTATTATTTAACCCATAGCTTAGAGGGAAAGAAATAGAATGAATGGAGCATAACAATTTTGAACAGCCGCTTCCATTCTGAGATGATGCTATTCCTTACTCGAACATTGATAATTATAATAAGTCGATGCAAAAAGTTCTCCACACAATCCTTCAGAATTGACGTTAGGGAAATTTCTAGAAATATCTTTAAAGTTCACACAGCGTTTTTTAACATACTACAAACCCCCAAATCATTAACCTAAAATCTCGAGTCATATTCTTAACTTTAGAACACTTACCATGGGTATACAGTATCCAGCGCAAATTTTCCTATTTTTAATTACAATTTTCGGTACCTGATTTTCATACCTAAATAATGTTTTTCAGTTCCTATTAATGTTAACTCAATGTACAAAGTTTGAAGTGTCTGTATGTAAAATATTTCAAATAAAGATTTATATTTAATATTTTTTTGATATTTTCAAAATCGGGTATGATATATCCATGGTTAGTAGTGGTGTAACTTTAATTGATGGTTAGTGTTCTAGGGTTAAATATTGTCGTCAAATCGAATGGATGTCACGCATTCGTCCCAAACTTTCAGAAACTTGGACTCTAGTGCAAACGAGTTATACTTATTCTAAACTCGTGGTTTGGCGCTAGATAATCAAAAACCAAGAACTGTACCAAATAACAGAAACCTCATCAATTGAGGACTTTCAAAAGTAGCAACAACTAAAATGAATAGCAGCTGTAACTTGAAGAGAAGATAATGGCATAATGAAGATGTTGATATTCCATAGTACTTTAAACAAAAGGTTAGGAAGGAAACTCTCATGAATACTGGAAAGAATGATTGAGTGATTTGTTTAACGGCACATCAACTCCTTATGAGTCATTTAATTCCGAAATTTTATATTTTTGTGAGCTTTGAATTCATAAAAATATGATAGGTTATTATACTTTCACAGCTTAATACATGGTAGATGATACTCAGCTTTTATGCATATATTTATACATGTTTGCGTGGGCATAAGTATTAGATGTGATATGTTTTATGTTGTAGTTTTGCTGAAGTCAAATTTTGGAATACAGTTTCATTTAAGAAATCGTTGAATATTATATAGCTTAATGCCATGAAAGAGTTCTTAAATTTTGGTTTTTGATTTTGTTTAGTGACATATCAACCTCTACGGGCTACGGGCTATTTAATGCTGAACTCTGAATAATTTGAACAATTTTATAGCCTCAATTAAACATAATTTAAACGCAATTTTATGCTTCAACGAAAATGCATTACAGTTTTTTTAAACATAAAATGTATTTCTGGTACTTTTACTATAAAAATATTTTTTATATTTCTTCTAGTTTCGATTTTTTTTTTTTGAATTTTACTTTTTTGCCCATAGCTGAGACCCTAACAGGTACTACCACCCAGGGTCAGAGTGTACCTGAGGAAAACAGCAATTAAGAGATGGTTCTACGCTCCTCAGTAACTCAATTCTCGCGATCAGAGGCTTTCCTGCCGGATGTAGTTTATCGTCATGCCCAGGACTAATACTGGAATAAACGTTGGCAATGGACTTGAGGAAGCTGAAAAATTGTTTTACTGGAAATATTTTATAAATTTCAATTTTTATATCAAATACAAATTGAACAAAATGAATACAGAATATTTCCTTATAAGGAAATGGCTAATAATACCATTATAGTTAGCAAATTCGACATTGTTTACGTTTGGCTTTATAGAAGCAAGTGAAGCAGATGCGAGGTCATGCGTCACTGAATTTTTTATAAAAATTCAGTAGGTGTTTAAACAAATAATGAGAATCGCTGAGTGATACTTTAAAAACATAAGAATTTTAAAAAGGACAAAATAAAAAAAAGATCTTCGGGTTCGGGGGCTTTATCAAATGAATTTTTAAAAGCAAGAATGATGCAATAAATTGTTAATGAGATATACAAATATAATCAATATTCATAAAAATTAGATGCAAAATAAATCAAATGTAAGGTGTCGTTTACAAACTTTCTTTAAATGTCATATCTATTCAGGAACACGGGAGATCATGGTTCTCTCAAATTTCGTATTTTATTGCTCTAAATAACAGAACAGGGAAAAACTTAGAACATCGATGTTTCCCTCTCTTTTACTTGTTATCATTGTGTTCTGTGAGTGTTTCATTCGCTAGTCCTTCTTTCCTCATTTTGTTTCCATGAAATTTCAACCGTTACTTTCAGATGAAAAATACCAGTTTCCTAATAATAGCTTAAAACTTACTGATGACATGCTATATCGATGATATTCTCAGCATCTTTGGTGTTAAATTTTTTGCTTCAATAATTTTAAATTTGCGTGAAGATTGTCCAGCTTAATCCTTTCAACTGAAACCACTATAAGTACAGGAAGGGCAATGACATCGTTGGAGAAAACTATAAAACAGTCAGTTACCGCATAATCAGTATTCATTTCCTCGCATGTACATATGGAAGTAATATATATATATATATATATATATATATAAATATGTGTGTGTGTGTGTGTGTTGACTGCTTCTAGCATCTTGGTTGGTAATTAATTTTTATATTTTTTTTCTCCCTGTCCACTCATAAATTCATGTCATCCATGACAGACTATATATAATGAAATTGATGTCCGAAGAAAAAACTGAAAATAAAAAAAAAAAAAGAACCAAGAAACTAACACTGTTAAATCCTTCTCATCAAATGCTTGAGATTCAAGCCCAAAGAAAAAAAATCCAAAACGAGTAAAAGACTAAACGTAAAAATATTATAAACTAAATAGAGCAAAAACTAAAAAATTTCCTAAGGAGCCAAGCAAAGAATAAGTTTCACCTAAACAGATCTTTATATAAAATATTTATCTAATAATCTATCTATCTATCTATCTATCTATCTATCTAGTGGAACAAATAACAAATTACCTATTTGCGTCTGTTTATAAAATACATTTGCAATTAAATAAAATTTTTTGATACACTATAGAGAATGGGCTTATACCATCTCTCAAACTGATCTTGGTTTAATTATTGAGTCTAATCAATTATAATTTTGATGAAGAAACAGAGCAAATTCATTTTGAAGTTGACTCCATTAAATTATCCTTGAGACAATCTTTTACAGAAATATTCTCCATACCTGACTGATATCTTTTAAAAAAAAATGAATATTAGTTTAAATTTTTACACTATGATATATATATATATATATATATATATATATATATATATATATATATATATATATATTAAATTGATTTAAAATATGGTTTTTTTCTCTACACAGTTCTAACCATGTTTCAAAAATGGAAGCTAAAAGCTTCAATTTAATTTTGAAATTAAATTAAAGACATTAGTTCCATTTCATCCTCAAGCGAATTTTTTGAGTAACTTATTTTTTAAATTTACTGGGTTTTAAAGGCACAGCAAAAAATCATAATTCACGTTTCCAAGGATACAGAGAAATCCATTCATCCAGACAAGGGGTGTTTGAGTGTTTTATTATCGCTGTATTTTGATGTATCAGTTATTAGTTACGTTTTGGTAGGGGTAGGGATGTATTTTTCAATGAATTCTGACATCCGTTAAATGCATGTCGTCTGGATTTTTTTTTAAAATTTGTTAACGGCAAAAAATTCTTTCATCACATTTTTTTCTATTTGTATATTTAAAGATTTTTAAATTTTTAGGTTAGAATACGTTTTATTTAACTACGATTTTTAAAAATTTAAAATTTAATTTTTAATATACTATATTTTTTTTTTAAAACAAGTAAAATATAGAATCACTTACAGTATGTAAAATTATTTTTCATCAAGTATAAGTATGTATATTACTAGGTTACAATTTTTTTTTTTAAATTTATAAATATTATTTAAGTAAAATTTTTACAATTTTTATCACCAAAAACCTAATTATTCAATTTTAAGGAGAGTGGAGAAAAGCTTAATTTTATAAAAAATTAACAGGATGGTAAAAAGCATTTTACTGATAACTGACATCCATCAAACATGGCACGTTTAAAACTAAACAGTCTACCCTGGTGAGCGAAATAAATATTTTCAGTTCGACATTTTTTCCATATGAAGAAGGCCGGAGTTAAATTACGGCCGAAACGTTTTTTTTATGATAAATATTTAAAAAATTATTTTAAGGACAATTTTTGGTAATGAATAAAAATGTAAATAATGTATTTTTAATATATATAAACAGTAATATATAGTTTCTCATGTAAATACAAAGGACATGGTTCATTCAATGGCTTACATCTTCTAGCTTTTCATATTAATTTCATTTTACTGTAAGTTTTTTATTGGATTATTTTTTAGTGCTTGTAGTACTTTTTTTAGAGGTGTTTTAGTTTAGAATACGTTTTATTTAACTGCAATTTTAAAAGATGTTTAGGTTAGAATTCGTTTTATTTAACTACAATTTTAAATACAACTTTAAAATATTTTCACTGTTAATTTTAATAGACCATATTTTTTTTTTAAAATAAGTAAATGTATTAGAATTAATTACAGTATATAAAATTATTTTTCCATATCAAATATAAGTATGTATATTACCAGGTCACAATTTTTTTTTTTTTATTTTAAATTTTATTTTTTTAAAATTTATGACAATTACGGCAAAAATAGCTAATTAATTTCTCTGATTCAGTAAATTTTTATTTTTTATAAACTTAGTAATATATAGTTTCTCTATGTATGCACAAAGGACATGGGTCATTTAATGACCTACATATTCTAGCTTTTCTTATTAACTTCCATTTTACTGTAGGTGTTTTATTTGGTTCTTTTAGGTGCCAGAAGTACTTCGAGAGGGATGTTTGATTTTTATATTTATTTATCCTAAATGAACATTGATGTTGGTTGAATCTTTTTTGAACTCATGGCTAGTGCAACCAATATATATATTTATGCTTTCAGGATTTTCAATCGAAGAGATATTGCATTGGTATACTAATGATTCTGTGCGAGATTTATTTTGTAGAGGGGAATTATGAGGGTTTCTACAGTTACATAATTTTTGTTTATCCTCATCATCTGTTTTTATTTTTTATTTTTCCATTTTCTAAATTTTTTTTTTTTGGTATAAGTGTTTATTTAAGATATTAGCATTATGGTTTTTAATAATTTTTTTTAAAGTTTTCCGTACAGCTGTAACTCAATTTTAGTGTATTTTTTATTGAAAATAGTACTTAGTTTATTTTCACTAGGAAAATGCTTGACTATTAATGCGAGGAATTTTTGTCCTAATTTGTTCGTTACCCATTGGTTGTATGGGGGCGTATACCAAATTATTTTTCTACATCTGTTTTTTCTATGCTTTCCATTTTCATTTTTTATATAAGTTAGTTTTAGGTTTTTGTAGCCATTTTCTTTTAGAGCTTTATTATAGGAATTGGTATGCTCATCGAAAATCTTGACATTTGCTGAATTTGTATTTATTCTTTTACTGATAGATAACGGTATATGCTTAATTATAGATGGCGGTGATTTGATTTAGGGTGTATATATAAAAGATTGATATTGGGTTTTTTTATAAGGTGTGTATGTATTTTTATTTAAATCTAATGTTATATCAAGGAAGTTCACTTTTTTTAATTTAGTGCTAACCGTAATTTTTAAGCTCGTGCTTTTAAATTCTTTATATAATACCTTTGTAATTTTATCTATTTTGAAGTTAGTTGAGTTTCTAATAACCATAAGACCATCGTCTCTGTACAATCCAATGTCAGTTATATTAATTTCATTTCTGCGCTGTAAGTTTGTATAATATAAAAAGACCTATGAGATCAGAAGACTCAGCTGAGTCTAGTGATCCCATTCTGATCTCAAAGTGGTCATATGAATTCTTTATCCATTGCTCACCTTTATGTATCAGTATTGATTTTTTTCGCATTACAATAATTTAATACATCTGTTTTACACAAACACACACACACACAAAATTTATAGCATTTATATATATTTATTTATATATAAATATATATATATATATATATATATATATTTATTTTCTCGTTGATCGACAAGAAAAAAAACTGATCCAAAACAATAAAAAATACCAAGGTAAAAATATATAGTGAAGTATTCTTATTAATTAATTTTGGGCCTAATGTTTCGATTTCGACCTCATTAATTCGTGATCCATTCACAGAAAAATATTTCGTAAGACAGCACCGTTTCATGCTCAAAAATTAACTATGATTTGCTCGTGAATTTTAAATTTCCCAAACCCCCGCTCTTCATAATTCATCCTTGAAAAAGCTAAAAAAGTTTAAAATTTTTTTAATTATGTCTGCATTTAGTTCATTAATCTCTAAAAATTCTCGAAATTAATTGATGTTATCCTCAAATCCATCTTTTAGAACCATATTTTTTTAATGTCTTTCTTCAAACAAGAAAAAAAAAATTTAAATAATGCTATATAAAGAATATAGATATGCCATAAAAATCGGCTTTATTTTCCTTGAAATGAAATATTTCTATATCTTAATGTACATAGTTTCTAAAAATCTTTCCATATACATATGCCCACAAATTGCTTGTTTTTTCAAATAGTTAGATTTCTGCACATTATGATGCTGATGTCTGAAATTAAAACAGAATTAGTAGCCGTTGCTCTCTCTGGAAAGCCATACCATTCAAAAATTTTTTTTATTTAAACCTTTCTTCTCACTTTCTCTTGTAACCATGTCTAGGGGTGTCTGTAATCTTTTACTTCTCAATGCAGTATAGTGTCTTCCGTGTATCTTAAATTGTTAAGATTATCGCTGTCGATAATCCTCTTAGGTCACTAGAATGTCTGATAACATTAATTAATTTTTAGCAAAAAATAAAACGAAACAAGTTTTTTTTTCGACAGGATTTAAAAAAAATATAATCCATTTTAGTTGTGAACAACTTGTGACAAGTTTTAAATGTTAAACAAATTCCTAAAAATTATGTAAGTTTTCACGCTCACAATTATTTTAAGACATATCTATATTCGCTATCTATCTATATATATCCATATATATATATATATATATATATATATATATATATATATATATGATAAAAAATAATAACACACCAGTCGTCAAAAAAAAAAATTATAAACATCATCATCGCATGTAAATACAAACAGAACTCAAAACCAATGTGGTGATGTAAAGCCTTTAATAAATCAATACAATATCCACGTCTACATGTGTCATTTTATGCATTAAGAATTTTAATTCGTTTGAGGACGATTCTTTAAACAGTCTTTAAAAAGAGCTTAAGAACACCCATTTACCCCTTGTATTCGTTAAATTCGGTAAATACAAATATCGACACCCTAAATATGATTATTTGATTCCGTATTTAAATATCTCGAACGAATGGATATATATTTGCAAATAAATCTCGAAAGCTTTATACATTTGTAATTTATGTGAACAAAAATTTACACCTGTATGCATATATATAAATGGTGTATATATATATATATCACAAAGCGGACACAGAGGAGAATTCCCCCTACCAAACATAATCAAACAAAAACAAGCTTAAATAGATACAATTTTCCCAAAATAAACCAGTTGTTTGATGATCGCAAAATCGATTGAGCGTGAAACCCAGAGACAAAAACACATATCAATACAACTATATATGTTAACTCTATCACTGATATTGAGCCCTTTCCAATAAGTACCACGCATATATAATATATATAGAAAATACATATATAGTTTTAATGTTTTAAGACATTTATTTATGGGGAAAAGTGCTGAATATCAGAGATAGTGCGTAAATTATTCACTGTGCCGTCCCCCCCTTCAGGACGTGATCGATCACGACACTATACAGCTTCCTATTCTTTAGAACTCTTAGCACCAATCCTCTTGTAACCCGGTTCCGCCAGACATTCCCGCAAGCCTTATGGCCTGCTGCTTTTCCTC